TTCTCACTCTAATTGTAAAATTGATAAAGTAATTTACACTCCGGTTCAATTTTTCTGACAAAGTTTCCAGAGAGTTTCTGGGAAATCTCGATAGAGATAACCGAAGGACTTGTTGGAAAATTCTGAGGAAATCTAGAGTGGAATCGTAATCGGGACTAAGACTGCTTTTCAGTTCTTTCATCGACAGACTTCTCAGATAGTTCCTAAAAAACTGATAGATCTTGAAGTGGACTACTATGCTTTGTTTTTAAGTGTACATTAACCGAAATTTATTGGATAGAAAAAATATTTGTCAAGGAATCTTTCACCTAAGTCGTTCAGTAGGCCCTGTTTCTGGGTAGGAGTCTCTTAGATCAAATCTAAAATCATAATCAAAACGATGCGCTAATATTTTTACGTGAAGACTTAGACAAAACTCTATTTGAATCTTTCTTCTCTTATACAATTCAATAGATGCAAAATAAAACGGTGAAAAAATTCATATATTTACTTATCTGTCTTCATAATAGGTATATATTGAAGAATCTGATCTGTTTGTCAGTAATTATGAATGTGGATTTTTTTCAAGGATTAATGTCATCGGAGAAGATTGTCTTTAAAATATAATTGAGTTTAAACGTAACAAATCTTAAAGAAGATTTGTCTAAAAAACAAAGTGGGAGATATCCAAAAAATGAAAGAAATATTGTTTGTCCCGTCTTGATCATTACTCATATTACCAGCCAATAAAGAAAAATATATACTGAATGATTTTTGAAACTCATACGAAAAAATTTTAATCACATTTTTCTGTCAAATTGACAAAACAACCATGGTTTTAGCTGATCGATTACATATATACAGAGTAAGCTTTTTTTTTTCTTTTGTTTACATTATCTTTTAGGTCATACGTCTTTATTTTATATGGAAGACCACAAACAATTAGTGTGCTTGCTCATATTCATCATAAAACTTAAGTTTTTATAATTAGATTTATATTTCTCGTATTTCTTACTGAAGGTTTCGTAGATTTGTTGTGAGTAGCTTTGGTAATGAATGTTTAAACAATGTACAAGATTTCATAGAGAAATTACGAAATATTAATTGATAGAGAACTATTCAAACATGATTATATTCGAATTAGGTTAATAATCAACAAAATAATCACTCAAATTTTCGTTGTCATACTATTCATCATTATTTTGATTAATTGATAATGTTTTATCAATCATTCTCTGAATAGATTATTGTCATGAAATAACTTAAGAACGCTGGAGCATTGAATACGAACAAGAAGTATTCAATTACAACTTACTTATTTTTTATTATCTTAACGACTTTAGTTTGTTTTCTAACAAGATATAAGTCGAAAAATTCTTTCTATTCAGAAGTACTCTATATAACTCTAGTTATGAGTAGCCATTAGAAAAAATACCATATCTATTCAAATTAGTTTGTTACGTAGTTCTAATTGAGAGATGAATATAGAACGATTTTGTTTTTCGATTCTCTCTTGCTTTTCAATACATGAGAGTATATAGAACAGTCAAAGTTCTTATGTTCAATTTGTATTGTATAATGCAGAGAATTAGTCAGTCATTGTTCACTTTAGCTAATCCATTTTACATTCAAAATAATTGAAAAATTTCCTGAACTTTGTTCACTACTTGTCGAAATACTTAATATAATTTCATGAATGATGCCCGATAAAATTCAAAATTTGTTTTGCATTGATACTTTTACAATTGATATATTACATCAATTCTTGTTGTATATCAATTAACTTTTGAAGACTAATAATAATGGAGTTAGTATATTTTTGTTGTATATGAAACTTCTAATCATTATTGTCATTCTTTGGTTCTTATCTAATTTCATTTCTATGTCGAAGATATCCTATATAATTTAAATGACTATAGATCAACTTTAAGATTGTAATTAACAGGTTATTTTATTGACAGATTTGTTACTTCATTGATGTCAGTTTCAGTTAGTAAGATGTCAAATCTCTGAGTTCTAGACTGTGAGAAAATGTTTTACTTCTCATTGGAAAATATTCCTAAGAAAATCACGATTAGTTTTAATTACCAAAGTGAAAAACTGATTTTTTGAACGAGCGTTCCAATCTTTCCAGTAAATTCAATTAAAATCGATTGAAACTATATTCTGCTTTGTCGATTATTGTTGATTATCTTCAGTGTCGGCGAGTTTTCATCGACAATCGATTTTCAAGATGTTGGAAAATATCAGTAAGGTCTATACAGAATCAAATGATGTAGAATATTACTTATTACAATGACAATCCTAGATAAAATTTCATGTAATATTTATTAGCAAAGTTCTACGATAAATGCGATACACATAATCATGAACACTATTAATGTTTTTTTCAAAACATAACTCAGATAAAATAATCCAGTTAAAATATTTCTTTTTAATTAATAGCATGTTTATCCAAAGCAGGAATCATGTTAAAACAATTCCAAAGCGTAGTAGTGAGGTGAAACTGATTATTTTCATAAGTAGAAGGTGCACATGAGATGAATACAACCTGTGAGAAGACTATTTTCAAAAGTATTTTATATACAAAGAAGTACTACATAGACAAAGGTAAAAAAAATGCACATAGTTGATTAAAAGTAAATTTTTAATTTTTAATCGACTTTTGATGTAATTTCATCATCTCAATTTGAAACAAATTATGTAATAACTCCAAATTTACTTCATTTGCTGAAGATCAGCTTGGCGATAACTTCCTAGTTTCTAAATACGATTCATCCAGAAAAAATCATGAAAAATTGGGGTATCACATTCGGATCTCGAGAAGAACGCTTATCTTCGGCATGCATGATTAAAATCGATTAGGAAATGTTATTACTTAGAGTTAACCGAAAGTTCTGATCACGGTGTTTAAACGACCTTGTCAGATGAGGTGATCTATTCAGAAATGAAAAACTAAATATATCATGGTGTAGAGCTTTTTGAAGTGTATCGAATGATATATAGTAAATTCTGTTTTCATAAGACTCGAAAGGAATTAGAAACAATTTACTGATTGAGGACTACAAATTCACATCCACATCCTTATGGAAACAATTGAAATCTATAATCGAATTTTCGTGCAACAAAATTAAAACTTTAATCAATTGAAAACAAAATTATAATTAGTATCAATTGATATCGATTTTAATTCTTTAAGTTTTTCACTGGGTTATATAAAGATTGTTTTGAATAACAGAGTCATCGACAACACCTATTGTGGATTCTAATTTTTGCTAATTGGTATCTTGCTAATGGATTTCCAACTAATGAAGGTATGTTTTAATTTTATTTGTACTAATTTCTAAGTCACTGTTGCTGTGATATAATAGAAATGTCTTCTGTAAAAAATCCGTTTGATGATTTTCAAGAGCGTTATGGACGTCAAGCAACATCAGGAGAAATGCTTTGTCCTGCTGTTTGTTGTGTATGTCCTTCAACAACCACTACAACAACAACTTCAACAACGACGTCAACAACGACCTCATCAACAACG